GTCATGGGCAATGAAGTGACAGATATTCTCGCCTGAAAAGGGACTGCACAGGGATTCATAGGCCCAGGACCCTTTACCGGTCTGCCATGGAACTCCGTTAGGCGGAACTACTATATCTGGATGAAGAACGAAGCAACAACATTACTTGACAAATACGGAAGGTAACAGACAGGCCAAGTCCTTCATTCCGGTTATATCAACAAGGAGAACCGAAGAACTACTTCACCTCAGTAGGCATGAAGTAAGAATTGTTACAGGCTTTCTTACTGGCCACTGTAGGGTAATGAAACACTTGTCAAATATAGGAGTTGTCAACTCTGACCAGTGCAGGTTGTGTACCGAAGAACAGGAAACAGCAGAGCACATTACAACTTACCAGGACCAGACTTCGCTTCCTAGGATCACCGTACCTAGAAGCTCATGACCTAAATGGCATTCAGCCAAAGGACCTCGCGAAGTTTCTTAAGAGTACGTGGATCAAAGATGACCTGTAGTTGAATAGAGGTTTGTTACAATAGATCGTTTCGGTCGCGGTAACTAGGTGACCTCCTCCCTCCTCTAAATCTAATCTAATGCTGGGCTCCTAAACACGAATCCGAAACCAGTTTTTCAATTGCTATTCGGAAAAACCTTTTAGAAGTGGTTTAAGCTAAACCGCCTGTAGGAGGTCATTACTTTTTAGTTGATAATAAATAGCACAAAACTTTTCATTGGCGTAACCTTGATTTATTGACTTTTAACATTTTTATAATATGATTTATTTTGAGCCTGTGTGAATTGGTAACAAAGTTCACGGCGAGTAAATTTTTGACAACTATGAGGTGAATAAAATTTCAGTAGCTCATGAGGATAGTAAAATTTTTGACAAACACATAGAAAATTCTGACAATCGCAAAGATTGTGTATGTGTGTAATTTTTCGTTAAATAAAAGCTTAAATTGATGAATTGCAATCAACGATGGCAGATGTTTTCTTAAAATATTAATGTCACTTCAATTTGTAATATTTTATTCCGCATAAATTTGCGGTTATCAAAAATTTACTGTTGTCAAATAATATTACATTTCACACAGCAGATTGCCAAACCATAGTAAAAATATGGTAATTCTCTAGGGTGGGGTAACAACCCCCAAAAAAGGTGCGGAAAATCCGGGATGGGTACCAAACGACGCGTTTCGGCCCCCCTAATAACAATCCGGAGGGGGCGAGATAATATTATTAACCATTTAAAAGTTATGAACAAGAAACTTTTGTTAAATTTCGTTGTTTTCTATGAGCAATTACCACGTCAAAAATGCACTAAATCACCAGTTTCCACTTTTAAAACACTACTAAAACGTTTCCGGTTATTATTTTATGCAAACCAAATTATTTATTCACTTATATTTTATATATTTCGTTAATAAAACAGAGTAAACAATTTTGCGCCTGCTAAAATTATTATAACCTCAAATCGCTGGTATTGCCACTTTATTTCACATTTCATTTGCGCTATTATACTCAGTTTACACTATACACTTCTTCTTCTTCTTCTTCTTTTTACTTTCATCTAAATAAGATATTACAACCAAAACAATAGCAAATTTCGCTATACCATCGCGCGATTTTTTATTAAAAATTTTCATTATTTATCGAAGTATTGATTTTTATGGAAAAAGCGCCGCAGGCGAAAATTTTTAATAAAAAATCGCGCGATTTTTTATTAAAAATTTGCATTATTTATCGAAGTATTGATTTTTATGGAAAAAGCGACGCAGGCGAAAATTTTTATTATTTATATATATATTAAACGAAAGAAGATACCGAAAAGCATTGAACAGTGCACACATCTCATAAGGAAAAGTGAATTATTACGAAATACTAATACAGTGGCAGCACTTTAGCTATTTTGGAATCTCGCGTTTCAGCTGGCAAAGATTGTCAACTTCTTTTTAATAACAAAATAATCTATCTTAGGTTGATAAAACTATGTGTTTCTTTAATAAATAAGTTAAATTATATATTTTAATAGTGTTTAAAAAGTGTGAACAGGTGATTTAGTGAATCTTTGTCGGTGTAATTGCTCATCGAAAACAACGAAATTTAACAAAAGTTTTTTGTTCATAACTTTTAAATGGTTAATAATATTATCTCTCCCCCTCCGGATTGTTATTAGGGGGGCCGAAACGCGTCGTTTGGTACCCCTCCCGACTTTTCCGCACCTTTTTTAGGGGTTGTTACCCCACCCTAGAGAATTACCAAAAATATTATTCAACAGCTTTCCCCATACAACTTTGTTACCAATTCACACACGTCATTTGAATGATATTCCAGAAAACAATTCCTTTTTGGTTGCAAGCATTCGATACTTCTCTCAATTTACCAAGTATTTTTGTACTCGATACTTTTTACTGCGATCCAAGTAGGTATCGAAAAAGGGTACTTGTATCAGAAGCGCAAAACTTATTGAGCCTTATCATGAGTTTCATTTTCCCCGAACCGGTACGCTTTCACGTTTGGTTTCCACGTAATTACTATGGGCGGAATAAAAATTTTCGGGTGAAAATTTTTTCGGGCGAAACTTAGGATAAGGATCTGTCCCTTGAGAGAGGCTTTTCTCAAAAAAAGGTACAACTATATCAAAATCTCGAAACCGCCATTCAGGAAAACACTTGGAAAGTAGATGTTTTTGGGAAATATATCAAAAAAGGTGTTCTTTCCTTAAACTTATTTAATATGAAAAAACTTTATCTATCAATCTTGTAAAAATGAATTCTATTGTTTTTGACATCAAATACTATACAAAAATAATTGTTGTCTTAAATTTTTATATGAACAAATATATAAAGACAAATAATCTTGTAAAAGTGCATATTTTTTGTGACAAAAACACAATAGCTTTGAAAAATATGCAAAATCATAGTTCTATGTACAAGTACTGGACACCTCTCCGATACTGAGTAGGTATCGATACCTTGATTGATACAGGTACAAGTTTTGATTTAAGTAATACCTTAATGGTATCCATTTATCCCTAAGCATAAATGAATATTACATATTTTACATATTGTTTGTGTTTCTCCTTGGCGGATTTTTTGCATGTCCTTTTTCCTGATCGATCAAACCTTGCAGGATAATGTTCATATCCATCAAATCGAATGTTTTCAGGGGGGCGGTATGATTTCTGTCCAACGTCAGTATTCAAATTTTATGCTAAAGGTGGTTTACCAAGAGCTCGTCTTTCGCTACGTCCGGATATTTCGTTGGGGCGTTAGAATGTGTCCTTCGAAACAATAAATATGCATTTACCACTGTCATATCAACGAGGTGATAAAATAAGCGGATAAAATTAGCCCATCCATGAGGTCTACCCCTCCCATATGCTGATTATATTCACGGATTATTTGAGGACATTCAATTTCGGCGTATTTGTGGTCCTTTTTATTGGACCTAGTGACCTTTGGCATAGTTTCATTGCCATCATGCCCTTTAAAACTGTTCCTGCCAAAATTTTTTGTGTCCTTCCATAAGACTGTAGATATATCGCTACCCAAAACGTTCCCGACATATTCAAGAGAAAACCCGCGTTCTTTCCTTTTGAGTTCTTCCGAATTGTCGACTGGAAGCTTACAGTTTGAAATGCGATTGGAACGTATGGTACCCAAAGCATATATACCTCTAGTTCGAAGATATACGAGCAATGGTATAGTTGTGTAAAAATTGTCGAAGAAAAGAATATGGTTTTTGAAGTCTGGTATGGTTTGTCAGAGACGTGCCACCACGTTTGCTGCAGCTCCTAAATCCAACATTCCGGTAATAATAGTATTATCACCACTGCCATGGTACACTTCAAACATGTAGGAAAAGCCGTTTGAATCACACAGAACAAATATTTGAATATCCCATTTATGCGGTTTTGCTGGCATATACTGCTTTAGACCAGAGGTCATTTTGGTGGCACACATTTGCTCATCAACGCGAAGCCTAGCTTGTTTTGGAATAGAATCAAATCTCTCATTTAGTATGTTGATAATGGGACGAATTTTATATAAGGCACCGTATCCTGGCTGGTTTTTCTTTACTCGTTTATAACATGTCCCCACCAAAAAGTTAACCATCTCAAATCGAACTTAACCACATCACTAACTATTGCTGTCCACACTGCGGTTTGAGGTTTATAAAGCAGTACAAATGTAGAGAACAGTGTTCGGACCCCCACTCGATTCAGGACTAAAAATCTGAGCAAAAAAAAAAATTCTGTACCAGATTGAATTTTTTATTTTCGTTTCTGACATTAATTGCTTGACTTAAATATTTTCTATTCATGCAAAAATAAGAACGCGAGGCAATGTAAGGATAATACGTTAAATATTTAGGTAATATTTAGCATTTTCTATAAAGTAGAACGTTTCTAACACTTAACTTTTTAAAGTGCAATAGGATCTAAACCTTTTCTACTTTATATAAATTTCATTCTACATATATTTTTTAATAACTTAAGTAAAGTTCTGCATCCGCCAATTTCTACAGCCATACATAAAAAATAACCAAGTTACTTTATTGACGCATTGCTATGAAAGAGTTACTTTTTAACAGTGAGACTGGGCTAACTTTCAATTTTTTTACTGAAACCGGTGGTGAACACTCAAAAAACGGCCTCAAGAGGGGCATAACATGAATGAAAAAAAAACGGAATAGATTTGCAGTCAAGCGGAGTAGATGAGTACATATCAAATTTTTTCAAAGCTGGAGTAAATCTAACCTGATCTTAGTCTAGTCCAAACACTAGTAAGGAACGAATTTTTTACATTTTAACGCTAATGACCCACAGATGGCGGGAAAACACAGGGTTGTATCAGACTTTCGACTTGGTTTCGAGTTGGTTAGCTTTTAACCATCTCGGTGAAATGGTTAAGTGCTGCCATTTTTATATGGCGAAATTACGCTAAATGAAGTGGGTTATCGGGATAACCAACTCAACAACCATAACTACGTGATTAGCTCCGGTGGGGACATGGTATTAGAGTCATCAGCAAAACTTAAATATTTTTTTATTTTCTAAAACCGACTTCGTCGCATTGATTTTTGGATAGGAGTAAAAGCATACTTTCCCCAATATTTTTTCAAATTTTGATATTTGTATACCGACATATATATCAATATACCCACGTATTTCCGTATCTCTACTTCATTTGTAACGAACTTTGTATTGATGTTTTCTTGGCATGCTTGAAGATTAGTTTGATAAACCAATAAATTATAAATCTCGTCTGTGAAAAAGTACACGAAGGTTTGAAACGGTGTTTGTAAATAATCGAACTCAGTTGGCAGTTTCTTTTCCCCCTGAAAAACAATTTGATTTTTATGAAGCTGCATATCTTTGTTCTTCCAAATAATTTTTTTCAATTCAGGATTGCCATGATTCAAATCAGAATAACCTAGTAAGAATTTATTAGTTTTTAAGTGAATAAACATAATTTTAGGTATATTTACTGGAACCAATGAAGCCACCATTATTCGCGTTGATTCCAGCCCGATAGCATCTAGCTCTGGTAATGGAGATCGGGGCCGCTTTGATAGTCGAATCTTTCGTAGTTCTTTTCGAACTTCAATCTCAGGTCGTGCAATATGTTCGTTCTCTGCCCCTACATCAGCGGTCACATTAAACGAACAGCTAGCTATAGGTGAGGAACGCCGTAATTCCACTGCAGATGCACTAATTTCATTGGCATCACTAAATTTGATCATGTTGAACGATGTATCAATAGCATATGACATGAATACTGATGGTGCTCGAACCAATTCACCCATATATTCATCAATCTGTGCTTCATCTTCTGATGAAAGAACATAGCTTGGATTGCAGACACTATCATCATCAAAATCGCTGATTTCACCTTCATCCGTGCTAAGATCCTCATCATTTAGAGAATTCATAAACCTTTGTATCTCTTCATCTTTTAGTGGAGAGACCTACGCCTTGTATTTTCCATTTCTTAAATAAAGAGCATGGATAATATAATTCAATGCTAATTTTAGCATATACAGTAGAGAAAAGTCGAAAAGCAAAGAAATATCTACTAAAGGCAACAGTATAATATTCACTATAATTAATTAGAGTTCAAAGCCAATACAAAATTATTGAATTAGTAAAACGTTTATAACTATTTTATTTTTTTTTTTCAAATTTCACTTCTTTCACTATCACTACGTGCACCTCATACGAATTTTCAACATCAACTGGTCATAATTTCTCTCAAAAAAAGATAAGAAGCTTCAAAACAAATGTACAGGAGGCCTTACATATTTTTTGCATAAATTTTTATAGGACCACGTTTAACTGTATATTATTTTAATATTTGCTATTGCCTGCCTATAGGCGGTCTTAGGCTCTAGAGGGTTAAGTGTCCCTATAATGTAAACAAATAATTATACACCAACAATTATGTTGTTTTATTAAAATTATCCGGCTAGTTAGTAGTTAACATATTATGTGGAAATACCATGAGAGAAATCCTTAATTCGAGATCAGTTGTTCACCCAAAAAAGATGTTAATGATATTTATATGTGTCTTCTCATGTGCAATCATTGTAGCACAAATATCATACACATACTTATACAAATGTATAGAAAACACTTTTGCATCGAGCTTACATCAAATTTGCGGTTTTTTTTATATATGTGACCTGGTCTACGGAAAGGGGGCTTAGGTGTCAAAAAATCAATTTTCACTTTTTGGTTGATTCGGATGGAAGATGAGATGCTTTTTCACGTGGTGAAAAGCAGAAAATCCTAACTTGCTTAGAAGTGTACTAAAAATGTAAAAATGTTTAAAAAACTTTTTTAAATGTTCCACACTAGCAACTTACACGATGAACTATAATAATATTCCGACCAACAACAACACTTACTGGACGTCCGGCGCGAAGAACAATTAACGAGATAATGAGAAACTGACGAAACGAGTTGCTTACTTTTACGTCTAACACCTTCAGTTGACCTTACTTCAATAAATCTTGATAAAAAAGGCGATCGCCGTTCTTTTCAGCGCACACACATTAACACCCCCAAAACCGTACCTGCGTTGGCCCCTGCTCTTTAATGTTACATGAAATATTATTATATTTGGTGCTTTAAGAAATGTATAAGAACGTGGCTTTAATTCGGATCCTTTTTAGTGGAAATGTGAACAATGGATTGGGCAAATACGTCCTGAGGCTGAAAATTTTCCGCGGAAAAGTGGTTGGAACAAACAAACAACATCTTTGTGGAGTTCCGAAATATGCAGCTTATTCTTACTAAACAATGATAAAAGTAATTTAATAAACATACATAGATACTTTATATGCATTACACAAAGTAATACGTATTAAGAGTTTCACTTACTTTCCATTTTATACCTAATTTTATAAAGAAATCACTAAAAGCTCGCACTAAAATGATGCTCAAAATATATATTTTAATTAAAATTTTTGAAGTAAACCACCATGTTTTAATCTTTTGAAAGAATAAGGTAGCCATGGTGGAATTATATACAGGTGATGTCAGTAGACCACATAACTGTAAATTTTGACTTTATTGGCTGCCTTATTTTCAGTTATGCCCCCTTTGCCTACATTCAATTAACTTTCCATACAAAATGGGAGCAAATTATACTGCTTCTTATATTTTCTAATAAACGTATACGTTGGGACTACGGTTTTTTTTTTTGACAATTTGAATAAATGTTTATACTTTTATTCGCTTGCTGAAAATTTTTAATTCTAGTGAAATTATTGATTCAATTACTAATATTGATAAGCGGAGTTTTAAGTCATACTCGCACCTTGCGGGAATGCAAATTTAAATGCACAGTGCATATTATATTTAGTTCAAATAGCGAAGTAGCCCTTTGGTTGCATCTTTTGAGTTTACATACATTTGTATGTGTATGATTTGTGAATTTTGCAAGCGTAATGCAGTTACGCTTAGAAACGGGTTCGTAAGTACGCATTTTTTAAAGTGCATTGGTTGTTGGACTACATGCATAAAAAGTAAGCTTAGGCCAGGTCCTAACAAGCAATTCTTCGTCATGCGTTTTGTGGACAAATACAATCAGTTTTGTTGGTAATCAGAACCATGATACAAAAAGGCTCTAGGAATTATTCCCCCGTGCCTAAAATCACCCGGTCAAAATCCTCCAGAAAAAATCCCGCGCGTCAAAATCTCCCCGAACAAAAGTCCTCTGGATAAAATCCCCCCAAACAATATTCCCGCGGACAATAATAATCGGGAATATTGTTTGGAGGGGATTTTGTCCAGGGGATTTTTGTTCAGGGAGATTCTTTTTCGGGGGATTTTTTCTGGGGGATTTAGTCCGGGTGATTTTATGCACGGGGGAATGATTCCGACCACCATACAAAAAAGAAGGTAGTTTCAATAAACAACTTTTGACGGATAATAAAATTTTTTGAAGTTTCATAAATTGAGAGCATGATACTAAAAAGAAGGTAGTTTCAATAAACAACTTTTGACGGATAATAAAATATTTTCAAGTTTCATAAATTGTGAGTATTATCAACGGCCTTGCCACTTTGATAATATTAAGGCAATAAATCGGAGAATTTTCTTTCGCATATTTATGCCAATGTAATAATTAGGGAGTTCACAAGGTGTTGTATACTGTCGTACTGTTGTATGTCATAAGCTTTAAACGGCTAAAACTATATTTAAGGAACTCGCAAGCTAACATAAAAGTTTTATTATGAAATTTCATACAATTAAAAAATATTTGGTGGCGATTTCAAGTCCTCTAAACATTTATTTAGCCGTTAAAAACTTTACAACATACAACAATACAAGTACGACACCTTGTGAACCACCCAAATATTTCAAATCAAAAACCGTTATCAGTGCTTGGTAATTTTTTTCTTACGTAGCTCGCACTATTTTTATTAAAACTATATAAAATATAAACTATTAAATAAGATTTCCTTTTTGGTTGTTGTTGTTTCCGACAGGGTTTTGGAACGAATTTCCGTCATCTCTTGTCAAATTTGGTTTGGAGACAAACCGGTTTCGGCGTTGTGCCATCTTCAGTATCATTTTTCGTTCTGCATAATTTTTGTTGGTTGCTCGTATTTATACTCCTCGTTAACTACCTCTTTCTTTTATTAGGGACGTCTTTTTAGTTTTGCAGTGTTTGCGGTGCTCAATAGGTAGATGAATTGGCTCGTTTTTGACGGCAGGTAGAAGTCCGTGATTTTTACCCTCTTTGTTTTTGCTGTTGGTGTATTCCCTTCCATGTCTGTCCTTAATATTTTGTTGTTGTCATTTTTCTTCTCGTAGAGTAGTTTTAGAGGTTCAAACAGTACGTCCGATACAGTATTTATTTGCTCATTTATTATTTGTCCTTTGAAGTTCTTCTGTTTATATATTTCCAAATTTTCTAATATATTCAATCTTTGTCCTTTATGTTGTACACGGAGAAGTTCTGTTGTTTGTCCAATCTTCATTGGTGTGCATTTATTTTTGATCATGTGATTCGCGAAGTTCGATTCTATTGCAGCCTCTGGTTTTCGTTTTTTCTTATTATAATCCCTTATGTGTTCTCGATACCTTGTTCTTATATTACGCCCTGTTTGTCCTATGTAACTGTGTCGGAACACGCAGGTTAACTTGTAAACACCCTGTTTATCTAGCGGGTCTTCCTCGCTTATTTTCTCTTTCAATATATTTCCCACTGTGTTCCTTGTTTTAAGCAATGTCTGAATGTCGTACTTATGAAAGAATTTGGCAATGTAAGATGTCTTTCCTGTGTAAGTTAGAACTGCCCAAGTTTTTTTATTGTTTTCCTCTTTGCTAGTCTTTTTCGATTTTGTGTCCCTTCTTAACTTCTCCACGGGGCCTCTCCTATATCCGTTAATTTCCGCAATGGCATATATTGTATCCAGCCCTTCTTGTAGTCTTCTTCTGTTAGAGGGGTCCTTTCAAGCTTCGTTATTAGTTGTCTAAATGCTGCATTTTTGTGTTGCTGTGGGTGGTTTGAGCTATTGTGTAAACTGTGTCTGTGGCTGTTGGTTTTCTGTATATTTCGAACTCTATCTTGTTCGCGGTATCGTTTATTTTAATTGTTAAATCCAGATAGTTAATCTTTCTTTCCTCTTCCGTTTCCATGGTGAATTTTATATTCTGGTGTTGTTTGTTGAGATAGTCTAGTATCTGTTTCTCTTCGTTTCCCTCTATTAGACATATTACATCATCGACATATCTCGCGTAGAATTTTACTCCTAGGTTGGTCGATAGGTTTTTCTGGTATTTCTCCTCCAGTGTTTGCATAAATACTTCCATGAGTATTGCTGACGTCGGATTGCCCATTCCTAACCCGTTAATCTGTTTATATATCTTATTGTTGAACCGGAAGTAGTTTTGTTTTAATGTAACCTTCAACGGGTTTATTATTTCCGTGACAGCTTCTCTTTTCGTTATTCCCATCGAAATTTCTTGTACGGTCTTTATGGTTTCTATTGTTGGTATCGATGTGTAAAGGTCCTTGATACGAATTTAGTGTTTTCGTTGATCTTCAACGATTTCATCTTCTCCATTAGTTCCGTTTTATTTGTAATAGTATATTTATTGCGTAGATCCAGGTTATCCCTTATCCCTATTAAATAAGACTTCATCGTAATTGTTCTTTTTCTTTTATAATAAAAACCACGCGCGCATTAATTTTTTATTTTTTCGTTTTCTTATATTGAATGCAACCTTGCGATTTAAAAATCGAATTCTAAAGAATGTTCTTCCCAAATAAAACATTTTTATATTTTGGTTCAAATTTAATTTAAAATTTCTCATCAGATTTTGAAAAAAAATAGGCTTTATGATTAGCGTAATGCCATTAACTTTCACAAATTTTTAATTTAAAATGCAAATCCGCGTATCAAGATAATGCGAAACCGCGTATGTAGGTTGCATAAATTATTTTCTAGAGAGTAAAAACACTCACATTTCT